GAAACAAGATGGGATTGGGAGGGAGACAAACCATAAGTGACTCTTAATCTCAGAAAACAAACTGAGGGTTGATGGGGGGAGGGGGGTTGGGAGGGGGGGTGGGATAATGAACATTGGGGAGGGTATGTGCTATGGTGAGTGCTGTGAAGTGTGTAAACCTGGCGATTCACAGACCTGTACCCCTGGGGATAAAAATATATGTTTATAAAAAAATAAAATTAAATAAAAAAAAATAAGCTTTTGCATAGTACAGGAAACCATCAACAAACCAAAAAGGCAACCAACTGAAAGGGAGAAGATATCTGCAAATGATATATCCAAGAAGGGTTTAATATTGAAAATATACAAAGAATTTAAGCACACACACAAAAAACACATACTCTGGTTTAAAAAGGGCAGAGGACTGGAGTACACATTTTCCAAAAAGACATACACATGGCTGACACATGAAAAGATGCTCAACATCACTTATCAGCAGAGAAATGCAAATTACAATCACAATGAGATAACACTTTATGCGGTCAGAATGGCTAAAATAAAAAACACAAGGAAAAAGTGTTGACAAGGATATAGAGAAAAAGAAGCCCTCATGCACTGTTGGTGGGAATGCAAATTGCTGCATCCAATGTGAAAAGTTCCTCTAAAAATTAAAAATAGATGGGACATCTGGATGGCTCAGTTTGCTGAGCAGACTCTTGATTTTGGCTCAGGTCATGATCTCAGGGTCATGGGATTGAGCCCCATGTCGGATTCCAGGCTCAGTGGGGAGTTAGCTTGAGGACTCTCTCTCTCCTCTGCCCCCCACCCCCACCCACTGGCTCTCTCTCAAATTAATTAATTAATTAAAAAAAAAACAGCAACCAGAAACACCATAAGATCCAGTAATTCCACTACTGGACATTTACCCAAAGAAAATGAAAACACTAATTTGAAAAGATATATGAACCCCTATGTTTACTGCAGCATTATTTACAATAGCCAAGATATAGAAGCAACTCAAGTGTCCACTGATAGACGAATGGATAAAGAGGTGGCATATATATATATATATATAATATATATACATATTATATATATACAATATATGTGTATATATATGTGTGTGTATATATATGTATGTGTATATTGTATATATATAAAATTAATTATTCAGCCACAAAAAAGAATGGTATCTTGCCTCTGTGACAACATGGATGGACCTAGAGGGTATAATGCTAAGTGAAATAACAGAAAGAAAGACAAACGCCATATGATTTCATTCATATGTAGAATTTAAGAAACAAACCAAAGAAACAAAGAAAAAAATAGACTCATCTACAGAGAACTGGTAGTTGACAGAGGATAGATAGGTGGGGAGATGGGTCAAATAGATAAAAGGGATTAAGATCACACTTTTTTATGAACACTGAGAAATGTATAGAATTGTTGAATCATTATGTTGTCTATCTGAAAACAGAACACAATGTGTTAATTATATATTAATAAAATTTTTAATGTTAAAAAAAGAGTAGAAGCTATGATATTTTGTAAATCAAACTAAGAATTCTTACATTTTATTTATGATTAGGAACGTAATAATGTGGGGTGCCTGGGTTGCTCAGTCTTTAAGCGTCTGCCCAGGGTTCTGGGATCGAGCCCCGCATCAGGTTCCCTGCTCAGCGGGGAGCCTACTTCTCCCTCTCCAGCTCTCCTTGCTTGTGTTCCCTCTCTCACTGTGTCTCTGTCAAATAAATACACTCTTAAAAAAAAAAAAGGAATGTGATAATATGGCCTTGTAGTAGGCCTTTCTTTGGAAATATCAAACAACTCAGCAGTAAAACTGTTGTGATCATGAAATAGAGAAAAATAGAATCAAAGACTGTCAACTCGTGGATTCCCTAATACTGTCATTCTGTAAAATTTAAAAATGCATACTTGGATTTGTTTAACTTATCTAAGAATGTAGGCTATCATAAATCTTAATAAATGGCATACCATATTCACTGGTTCATTTATTTCCTTAATATTGAGTATCTGCTCTTTGGAAAACACCACGGTATTGCTGAAGATGTTAGGATTTAGGATAGGAGCAATTTTCAGTTGCTGGGATATCATGGTAGCCCAGGGGGACAAGGAGCAAAAAGGAGTGAGGAAAGTAGATTTCTGGTGTAAACACCCTGAGACAAGTCTATTTGGGCATTTGGAAAACTGTATTTCTTTAGTGGTACCAAAGATTAAGAGTAGCTATATAGTGGTTGCTAAGGTTGTGGGAGGGATAAACAGGTGAAGGAATCTTAGATGATGGTGCTTCCATATTTGAGAGACTAGAGCCTAGAATATAAAAGTGACTCTAGAAACATCGCCAAAGGCAAGGACAGCAAGGGCAAAAATGAACTAGGAACTTCATCAAGATAAAAAGCATTTGCAAAGCAAAGGTCAACAAAACCAAAAGACAACGGACAGAATGGGAGGAGATATTTTGCAAATGATATATCAGATAAAGGGCTAGTATCCAAAATCTATAAAGAACTTATCAAACTCAACACACAAAGAACAAATAATCAAGAAATGGGCAGAAGACCTGAACAGACATTTCTGCAAAGAAGACATGCAGATGGCCAACAGACACATGAAAATGTGCTCCACATCACTCGGCGTCATGCAAATACAAATCAAAACCACAATGAGATACCACCTCATGCCAGTCAGAATGGCTAAAATTAACAAGTCAGGAAAGGACAGATGCTGGCGAGAATGTGGACAAAGGGGAACCTTCCTACATTATTGGTGGGAATGCAAGCTGGGGCAGCCACTCTGGAAAACAGTATGGAGGTTCCTGAAAAAGTTGAAAATAGAGCTACCCTATGACCCAGCAATTGCACTACTGGGTATTTACCCCAAAGATACAAATGTAGTGATCCAAAGGGGTACATGCACCCAAATGTTTATAGCAGCAATGTCCACAATAGCCAAACTACGGAAAGACCCTAGATGTCCATCACCAGATGAATGGATAAAGAAGATGTGGTATATATGTGTGTGTGCATATATATATATTATGCATCCATAAAAAATGTAATCTTGCCACTACAAGGTATTATGCTAAGCGAAGTAAGTCAATCAGAGAAAGACAATTAAAGACAATTATCATATGATCTCACCGATAGGGGGAATTTGAGAAACAAGACAGCGGCTCACAAGGAAAGAGAGGGGAAAATGAAACAAGATGAAACCAGAGAGGGATAGAAACCATAAGAGACTTTTAATCTCAGGAAACAAACTGAGGGTTGCTGGAGGGGAGTGGGGTGGCTGGGTGATGGACACTGGGGAGGGGATGTGCTATGGGGAGTGCTGTGAATTGTGTAAGACTGATGAATCACAGACCTATACCCCTGAAACAAATAATACATTATACATTAATAAAAAAAAATGTGAGAACCATATAAATTATTTTACTTCCAATAAAACATTTCTAGTAAAAAAAAAAAAAAAAGTGACTCTCAGCAGTTACTAAAGAATTCCAGATAAATTAGAAAGAAAGCTTCCACGAAGAAAGAAAGGGAGGTGTTTTGAGTATTAATCCCAGTGCATTTGATCACTATCTGCAGAGTAATTGTTTTATAATGAACATTTTACCTTCCATTACAAAAGAAGGATAACCAAGAGGCTGAAACCAGGAACCCACAGAATGAAGCTGACAGCCAGAATTATTCTCAAGCTTTGAAATCTTATCAAGAAATTGAAAACTTTTGCCTTGTGGAATTTCAAAACAGCTATTTGAATCTTCTGTACTTCCCAAGACACCTATTTTACACAGGAATTTCTATAGCTATTTTCCCATTCCTGTCCTAGCACTGTACACTGAGTATGTTAGAACACACAACTTTTAACAGGTTCACAAATGGAGAGGTACGGTGTTGAGTTGGTGAGTAGAGAAACTACACAGCAAAAGCTTCATCATCTGCAGCTGGAGTTTTGAATACTGAATTCATGTTGTAATGGGATCTGGCTTTTTGGGGTCTTAGGATGGTGTGGACGAATTCTGTATAAGGCAGGGATATGAAATAATGGGTGTAGGGGATGGAATGTGGCAGACAGAACTGTACTGGGCCCTCATCAAGCACATCTCCTGTAAGTCATACCTCTGTGGATGTCTGTGCTGAAGTGGGGGTAGGGCCTGGTGGCTTGTTTCTAATCAACAGACAATGTTGAGGCGATGGGTGTCCCTCCACTTACTACACTACAGTATATGCCAAAGGTATGACATCAGTTCTTTAATTAGAGACATTACATAAGATACTGTTCTGCTAGCAAATAAGTTCTTGCTTTCCCACCAGCCTTGAATAAGAAAACTGCCAAGTTTTAAACTACTTATGGACAGGATTATGTGGCATGGAGGTGGGGAGTTTGGGAACCAAGAACTGCAAAAACTCTTGGCATGAATGACTCTGCCTAAACCCCTGCACTAAAAAACTTGACTGAACTCAAGCAAGGCTTTTAACAGCCTAAGGCTACATCTTAGGACAACCCAGCTGTCCATGAGTTTCTATTTGGAAAATACCAAGTCTACAGAAAGAATTACCATTTGTTCCAGCCAACATCTGATGATAGGCCCCCCATCTTCCTTTAGAGAATCTATTTAAAAATTAACGCCACAGCAACAATAAAACCTTTTCTTTTTTTTTTTTTTTTTTTTTTTTTTTTTAAAGAGAGAGAGAGAGGGAAGCAGGCTCCCTTGCTGAGCAGAGAGCCCGATGCGGGACTCGATCCCAGGACCCTGAGATCATGACCTGAGCCGAAGGCAGCGGCTTAACCCACTGAGCCACCCAGGCGCCCCAACAATAAAACCTTTTAATTATAAATCCATCCTTCGACCCTTTGAGGTGTTTATATATCTCAAACAACCCAGGAATGTCTTTTTCAAAGATCTGAAAGACTTTCCATTGAAATGTAGTCATCAGGGACGCCTGGGTGGCTCAGTTGGTTAAGCAGCTGCCTTCGGCTCAGGTCATGATCCCAGCATCCTGGGATCGAGTCCCGCATCGGGCTCCTTGCTCGGCAGGGAGCCTGCTTCTACTTCTGCCTCTGCCTGCCATTCTGTCTGCCTGTGCTCACTCTCTCTCCCTCTCTCTCTGACAAATAAATAAAATCTTTAAAAAAAAAAAAAAGAAATGTAGTCATCAGGAAAGATCAGGCCTGTCTCTCTGTCACTGTGGGAGGAAAAAAGCCACAAAACAAAAAGACCAATAACTCAACTTAAAAACAAAAACAAAACAAAACAAAAAAAACCCACCATATTTCTCTAAAGAAAATCTACCAATGGCTAACATGAAAAGATGCTCAACATCATTAGTCATTAGGAAAATGTGAAACAAAGACACAATGGGATAGCATTTTACTAGGGTGGGGAAAAAACATGGGGGGGCAAATGGGGAAAAAACAAACAAACAAACAAACAAAAAACAAAAAACCCCACCCAAACAACTGCTCACAAGAATGTGGAGAAATTGGAACCCACATACAGTCCTGGTAGGAATATAAAATGGTTCAGGCTCTTTGCAAAACAGTTTGGCAGTCCCTCAAATTTAAACAAAGAATTACCATATGACTCAGCAGTTGTACTCCTAGGTATATAAATAATCAACATTATTTTAAGAATAGTCAAAGAAATACTGGTGTACAAATATTCGTAGAAGCATTATTATTCATAAGGCCCCCAAATGCAGACAACCCAAAATTTCCATCAACAGATGAATAAACAAAACAGAGTATATCCTTGCAATGTAATATTATTTGGTCATAAAAAGGAATAACATACCAATACATGATAGACCATGGATGAACCTTGAAAACATTAGGATAGGTGAAAGAAACCAGACACAAAAGGTCACATATTGTCTGACAACAAGTATAGGAATCATCCAGTCTAAGCAAATTCAGACACAGGGATAACAGAATGATGACTGCCAGAGGCTAGGGAGAGCAGTGAATGGGAAGTAACTTTTTGAAGGGTAGGAAGGTGTTTTCTGGAATGATGATTATGTTTGGAATTAGAGGTGGCTGTACAATGTTATGAGTGTACTAAAGCCACTGAATTGTTTACTTTAAATGTTATATATAAAAAAATACACATACACACAAAATCAGTGGAATGATCGAGGATACCATTCTATAGCCCCTAATGGATTTACAGAAAAGGGTGAAGATCTCAGTCAACATCACCACAAAGCAGAAACAGACATTAGGTATCTCTGAATGGTATCGCTTTGTCTCGGAAATGGACGTGTCAATAAACTGATAAATAGATCTGAATTTGAACAATATTTGTCCTGTGACATTGAGGATTATTGATGCTGAGTTTCAGGTACATTGGGTTCATTATTCTCTTCTCTGTAATGTGTGTATGATTGCTTTAAATAAGTATCATGCCTTTAAATTTGATAATCTACATAAAATGAACAAATTCTACAATACATAAACCACTGTACTGAAGACAGAGTCAAAACCTATAGCACCATCAGAATTTTCCAAGACAAGTCAGGTTTGGAAGCCAATTATACCAAATGGTTAGGGGAAAACTAACCACCATCTTATTTAAATTCTTCCAAATCATACAAGATGATGGGAAATGGATCAACCATTTTAACAGAGTAGCTCTCCTTGATACAAATGCCAGGTAAGAATGCCCAATAAAAGAGTACTCAAGCAAAGATCACTTGGATGGAGACAAATAATCTTTAAAGTAAATTTACAGATATTCAATATAAGTATGAATTAAATGAATAAACAGGGTGACTAAGAAACACAATGACTGTTATCACAGAAGAAAATACTGACAAATGGAAATTACTACATTCACAGAAAAAGAAAATGCGTTTGTAAAAGTAAAGAATATTTTTCTCTACACCTTTGCTTTCAGTGCTACTGACACCAAATGAATGAGTTTTTGGGTTTTTATCCCCCACACCAGCTAGGTATCCTACAACTCGATTCCGTTCTGACAATATTTACCTGAAATTAGCATCAAATCTCACAAGTTAAGGGCTCATTCCCGTAAGACGATCATATACTTAATCACAAATCTGGGCCTCCCATAGTTCTGACTGGCTATAAATCAGGGGTTCCCACAAACCCCTCTTTGGGTTTGAAAATTTTCTAAAATGGCTCACGGAACTCAAGAAAACGATTTATTTACTAGGCTACTAACTTATTATAAAAACAGAATGACCCAGTAACACCCAAACGTAAGAAATGCTTAAAGCCTGGTGTGGGGAAGGGGCACAGGGCTTCCATGCCCTCTCTCCAGCGGCACCCCACCCCCTCGGTACCTCCAGGATTTCAGCAAACTGGAAGCTCTCCAAAACAGTCTGGTTAGGTTTTTGTTGTTGTTGTTGTTTAAGAGAAAGAGGGTGCAGGGGTAGGGGCAGAGGAAGAGAGGGAATCTTAAGTCTGCTCCAAGCCCAGCAGGGAGTCCAAATGCCGTGATCCATCTCAGGACCCCTAAATCATGGCCTGTGCAGAATTCAAGAGTCTGACGCTTAACAGACTGCACCACCCACGTGCCCCTGGTTAGGATGTTTACTGAGGCTTCATTACATATGCACAATTAAGTAAATCACTGGCCACTGCTGAGTAAGTGAATCTCCAGTCTCTCTCCCCTCCCTGGAGGTCAGGAGGTGGGGCTGAAGTTTCCAACCTTTTAAATATGCAGTTCAGGGGCTCCTGGGTGGCTCAGTGGGTTGAAGCCTCTGCCTTCGGCTCAGGTCATGATCTCAGGGTCCTGGGATCAAGCCCTGCATTGGGCTCTCTGCTCAGCGGGGAGCCTGCTTCCTCCTCTCTCTCTGCCTGCCTCTCTGCCTGCTTGTGATCTCTGTCTGTCAAATAAATAAATAAAATATTAAAAAAAATATGCAGTTCATTGCCCTGGCAGGCAGCACCCATATTTAGTGGCTTTCCAAAGCCACCTCATTAACATAAACTCAGGTATGGCTGAAAGGCACTTGTTCTGAATTATGCAAAAAGCACTCCTGTCACCTTTATTGCTCTTATCACTTAGGAAATTTCAAGACTTTTAGGTGTTATGTGTCAGGAATGGGGACGAAAGCACAACACGTATTTCCTATTATAAATCATGATATCACAATTTAATGATATGCAAGAGTAAGGAAAAGGCCTTTGATAAAAATTCATCACCAGTTCAAGTTAAGGAATTTTAGCAAATTTACATTAGAGGGGAATTTCCACTTTGTATAATCTATAGTAAACATACATAAATGGAGAAAGTTCTAAAAATGTCCAATAAAGTAAGAAACAAGATATGGATGTTTGGTACCAACTTTACTATCTGAAATTAAACAATTTTCCTGCTTTGACATGTAAAGATGTTAGAAGTCATCACTACCATCCTCCCAATAAGAAAATAAAGCCAAGCATACTGAAAAGTCAGTAATTGCTCTTGACCTATTAAGAGAATTGAAATTACATGGCAAACCAATGCCCCCAAACTGAAAGGACAAGGGAATCACAGCTTACTGGGAGCAGAAGCCCCTGGATTCAGGAAGGGGCAGGAAACCTTACACTGTAAACATCCCCTGGCATCAGGGAAATACAGATCAAAACCGCAATGAGATACCACCTCACATAGGAAGGGGGGAATTGGAAATACTCTGGTGTAAGACACTTGTACTAATAGTGACAGTACAGTGTTATTTGAAACAGGATTTGAATAAGGTGTAAATGTCTAATGAAAGCTCTGGAAGGTCACAGGAAGGAGTGGTCAGATGAGGAGTACCCGCATGATTTATCAGGAGGACTCTCAGAGAGTTGAAGTCATTGGTATGAGGCCTTAAGTCAGCAAAGGGGAGGTATCACAACTCCCACAAGAAGTCAATGAAAGACACTGAGAGACGATTAAGGGAGTCCCCACCAAAGTGCACAGCCCTCCCCCACAAAAGCTACCACCTGCTGTCAGACCTGGGAAGCCCTGGGAATAGCAGCTAAGCTCAGACCCCCAAATTCTTACTAGAGGTTGGGAACGAAATGACACCATTGGTCTCAGGCCAGCACACTCAGCACAGCAGAGGGAGAATCCAAGGGACTTGGTAAGAGTCACTGAAAGCCCCTTTGTGAGTGCTGAGGAACTCTCCTCTACAATCCAGCACACCACACACTACCCACATCACTCCCCACCGCAACCACAGGGCCCCGCCCACAGGGCCCCGCCCACAGAGTCCCCTCCAGGGTCCTCCTTGGGGCCCAGACTCACAGGAACGGAAGTGGACCTCCTGGCCCTCAAGAACTTCCTCCTGACCACGCCGTGGGCAGTGAGGCGTTGTCCAACAGCTCCTGCTTAGGGTGAGCCCAGAGAGGGGTCCTGCATACTGTTAGGGGTCGAGGTGCGAGGAGTCCCGGGTTACAGCTGTGGGGACACACCCTCGACAACCCCCAGCCCCAACTCCCCCGGAAAGAGAGGTCCAACAGGCCCTGCCCCGCTCCGCCCCTGCTCTCTGGGCTCAGAGGCCCCAATATGGCGGTTAAGCCCCAGGTCCCTTCACTTACCTCGCGGGGTCTTGGGGATTGCAGGCCTTGGCCCGGGACTGCCAGACTCTGGCTCAGCTCAGCACAGGCAGAGACCCCCAGGCCTACTGGCGGGAAGGAGATGGCCTTTGTGACGATTGGGGAGAATCCATACTCCAGAACAGAGGCCATGTGGAGTCTCCGCTCCTGGCCTTGGCCTGGGAGGGTCTGGGCTGGTCTAAAGACTGAGGTGCTGCCTCACTTTGTGCTCCAGAAACTCGGGGAGGTAGGGGCCCAGGTCTAGGGGCCTGGCTGCCGGTCAGCAGAGGGAGGATTTCCAGGTTGTGCCGGGACTCAGGGTGAGGACCTTCAGGCTCCTAATGAGTCTCCAGCACCTGCCGCCATTACCGTGAGTGGCTAGAAGCAGGGCAAGGGAGGACCTGGAGTGAGGACTGCGGGAACCAGGAACAATAGGGCCTGTCCTCTCCTGTCGATCCTTAACATTCCAAGAAAGGGACGTCAGGCTGAGATATCCCATCATTTCTCCCATCAGGTCTCAGGCAGGTTTCAGCTTTAATCTGCAGGGGCAGCATGCAGTCAGAGGAAGGGAGGGTCCCAGGTCCTACACGGAGTCAGAGTGGGGGTTCTGCGTCATTCCGAGGACCCCACGAATTCAGGGCAGAGAAGCCCTCCCATCAGTGGTCAGCACTAGGTGCCCCTGACTTCAGCGGTGGGCTGAATGCTCCCTCCTTCCCTCCTTGAGGGTACCATGGAAGATCCCAGGGTCGCCTTCAGAGCAGGGGAGGGGGGTGGGGGCCCAGGTCTTCCCAACACTTAACAGGGGACCCTCTCCCCCACCCCCCACTCCTCAGGCCTACCTGGATACTGGTGTCTTCACTGTCAGAAACACTGACGTCACCCCGGTAGTGCCCAGGCAGGGCTGGCTGGCTGGGGCCCAAGGCTCACACCACCTTCCTCCTCAGGGTCCGGGCTGACCAGGGTAAGGGAGCCCTGCGGGGTCCTAGAGCAGTGCCCTGGGGGACTGTGCAAGGGCGGCCGTGGGCAAAACCAAGGTGGGATCTCTCCGGTGAAGGGTCTCCCCCCACCTCACTGTCCCCCCTCTCCAGGTGCCCTCGCTGCCGGTCAGCCCTGCCCAGTGTCACCATGCCTCGGGGCCAGAAGAGCAAGGTCCGTGCCCGGGAGAAACGCCACCAGGGCCGCGGTGAGGCTCAGGGTGTCAGGGGTGCTCCTGCTGCTGCACCAGCAGCAGCAGAGGAGGAGCCCCCCTGTGCTCCCCCGGGCTCCCCAGAGGAGGCGGTTCCATCTTCACCACCCCAGGGTGGCTCAGCCCCTGGATTTTCTGGCCCAGGGTCCCCAGGCCTGCCAGGTGACCAGGGCGCAGAGAACCCAGCCACGGCTGCGGCCCCGGCCGCCCCCCTGGCCGCTCCCCGGGCCGCTCCCCGGGTTGCCCTCAGGGCCATTCGCAAAAACCCTCTGATCCGCAAGGTCGGGATGTTGGTGCAGTTCCTGCTGGGGAAGCACAGCTCCGGGGAGCCCATCACACGAGCGGCGCTGCTGAAGATCGTTGGCAGGAAGTATGGCGAGCACTTTGCCGAGATCTTCAAGCTCACCTCCCAGCGCATGCAGCTCGTCTTCGGGCTGGAAGTCCGGGAGGTCGATGCCCGCGGCCAGTCCTACAGGCTGGTCAGCAAGCTGGCCCTACCCGGCGAGGGCACCCTGGGCGGCGGCAGCAAGGGGCTGCCCAAGTCCGGCCTCCTGATGGCGCTCCTGGGCGTGATCTTCATGAAGGGCAACCGCGCCAGCGAGGAGGAGGTCTGGGAGTTCCTCAACGTGCTGGGCGTGCAGGAGGGTAGGAGGCACCTGGTCTTCGGTGAGCCGCGCAAGTTCATCACCGAAGACCTGGTGCGCCAGGGCTACCTGGAGTACCGCCGGGTGCCTGCCAGCGACCCTCCACGCCACGAGTTCCTGTGGGGCCCGCGGGCCCGCGTGGAGACCAGCAAGATGCAGGTGCTGCAGGTCATGGCCAAGATCAACGACACCTTGCCCAGATGCTTCCCCCAGCTGTACGAGGAGGCTCTGCTAGAGGAGGAGGAGCGCGTGGTGGGCCGTAGCAGGCGCCGGTTCTAGTCAGGCAGTCCGGGCGGCTGCTTTTCCCTGGGGTGGGAGAGGGCACCTTCCCAGTAGTGCAGAGCCCTAGGGATGGGAGGGAACAAAGCATAGGTGTTCTCACAGTTAAGAAAGAATTCAACATTTTAAGTAGTGGGGTTCAAGGTGGATGTAGTTTTAACAAAACATATCTTCTTTTTGTTCCTTCCTCACATGAGTTATTCAAGGTAAAGATAGATAAAAAAACAGGTCGATATTAGCTTAAGATATTTAGTATTTTTTCAAATTTTTTCTTTAATAGAAATTTTACTTAGCTTCATAATATAAATATATAAACAATGTGGGCCATATAGTTTTTGCTGTTTAAAAGGTTTTAATGTTCCAGTTTTAGTATTTATGAAACAATTTAAAAATACTCAATAATTTGTTCATGATCCAGACAAGGTAACATGCCATCAGAACACAATTTACATGGAGATGTGAAGGAATCCAATAGCAAAATAGTTGGGATCACAAAGTGTATGAAAAAGCTTTTAAAATTTAAGATGTTCAATTATTTATTTCTTTTAGTCTTTTTTCCCTAATATTAAAAGTTATCTATCCTGGATTTGTGTAATTTATTAAAGACTGTTGAAGAGCAACTGTATATTCTCTAATATCTACTCGATTAAGAACAAAAAAAATGGGAGATTGATAACTTTGGGTTTCAAAATAATCATAAATATCAATGATTAAAGATCCAATATTTCCCCGTAAGTATGCCAAGTGCTTTACAATACAGTGTGTATTCCAACATTCCTACAAGACAGGACTTACGAGACTCCTTTTACTGACAAATAACTTGTACATTTCTCACTTTCATAAGGTTGGCAAGTGACAGAGCTAGGGATGGTCACAGGGATGTGAAATCCTTGGACTAACACAGGGAGGCCCCTTCCAGAAGAGGGGCCTAACAGAAGTCAAGGCAGTAACATTGAGTAACAATAAGAATACTTTTCCAAGAAAGAATGAGGCTATATACGGCCTTGTCCCTTGTTGGACCTAGAAGACCAAGGTGTGGAAACATGATGAATCATACTCGTTTCCTCCCATGGCATCTCCTATAGGGGAGAAACCTCATCAAGTCAGCAGAGGGAGAATTTCTAGATTGTAGCAGGAGTCAAGGTGAGGACCCTGAAGACTGAGGAGACCACCAACTCCATAACAGTGGGGGCTGAGGCACCAGTCCAGATCCTGACCGAGTGAGATCTAAGGGAGTCACTAGCCTCAGAACACTGCAGTCCCATAGAGCCTCACCCCTTCTACCAGTCTAGAGAGAATATAGACCAGTGGGCAGTGGGGAGCAGATGGGGCTCATGCTTGCTTTAGCCTCTAAAGTCTGGAATGTGAGCATCTTAATCTGATGTGAAGTTCCTCAGTAGTGTTAGCAAGTTGTACAAGGAGTCCAGTTTTTTTCCTAACCCTTTATATTTTCTATTAACCAGAACAATATAACATGTTACTGGCATAGGGACTGTCATGAAAATGTGAAATAATTATATGGGAAAATTACTTGGGAATCACGAAAAAGAAAAATAGGACAGTAAATGGTTAAATTCTTGGCCAGGCTCATTATTTTAGTCTTTAATATGTATCTGCATCTCTGTCTATATATATCTATATAAGATACATATGTAGATATATAATATATGATTATATACATAATATTAAATATATATTTATATATATATAATTCACACACACACACACACACACACACACACACCCCTAGATTTTCTCTGCTTATTCAGGAATGTGGGTGAAATGAAATCATAATACATTAGAAATCCTGCTTACTGTCTAATTACCAAGCATTAATTCAGCATCTGCTCTTTGGGAAACTCCATTGTAGTATGGGAGAATAGAAAGAAAAAGAAGACTGAGCCACTGCCCATAGATTTACAAGTCTAGGAGAAGCTATCATCAAAGGAAGATGGTGAGATATACTCTAAGACCTAAAAGTCAACAAAAAAGAAGCAGTGAGGAAGAAGAGGAATTTCCAGATGAGAGCAGTCAAGTGTAGATTATCTGAGGCCGGGCGGTTCGGGGCTGTGACTCTGGAGGCTAAGCGAATCCTAAGCAAAGGACAGATACCAGATTGTGTGTCTGGGAGTGGACAGACTGAAGCCTGGAATGAATTCTTCTTCTTCTTTTTTAAAGATTTTATTCGTTTGACAGAGACAGACACAGCGAGAGAAGGAACACAAGCAGGGGGAGCGGGAAAGGGAGAAGCAGGCTTCCCACCTAGCAGGGAGCCCAATGCGGGACTTGATCCCAGGACCCTGGGATCATGACCTGAGCTGAAGGCAGATGCTTAACGACTGAGCCACCCAGGTGCCCCTGGAATGAATTCTTAACAGCAACCTTGGGAATGTGGGAAAACCAGAGACACCTCTCCACCTGAAGCAGGAATAGATGGGGTTCTGCACTTTTGTCCCACTGCTGAAGAACACAGTGGACAAATTAGGTGTTTCGTGTACATCATATCTAAGAAACTTCTAAGAAACAGGGTTCTACACCCTTAAAGTATGGTCAAGAAGCCACCAAGTTCACACTCTGCCTTGGTTGAGGAGAGCCAGAGCCCACTCCATTGAAATGGCATTGTAATTAGGTTTTCTTGAGTACAATTCTGCAAATTCTAAGTTAGGGACCACTGAGTTGCATCTAACTGGGTAAGACTCATACTGAAATTAAAATACATACCCCTCGAATAGGGACAATTTTCTTGCCAGGAAACATATTGGCTATTTTGGTGTTTTCTGGCTTGCAGTGCATTTTCTCTGACATAGGCTGAATGAAAGCAAACAAACAAAAATATTACAAAGGTGTGGGTGGTATCACCTGGGACCAAGATGATCTGAGTAAAAGTTGTCATTAATAAGAGACACAATATTTGCCAATCAGTGTACTGGGTGCTCTATATACATGGATGGATGAAGGCCCTGGGCCTTCCCTGCTCTGTCCTTATGTCCCACTCTGGAATCCCTTAATGGTGTGGTATTTGAGACTGGCCTCTGAACAAAGACACAGATGAGGGAGCTTAACCAAGTGGTCAATAACCAAAGCCTCCCTCACAATTTGGGGATGAGGAATGACCCGGGATCTCACTATGCAGCAAGTACCTGCTGACGCTGAAATCCTCAGAAGCCCAGAGCACTTCTGTGAGAAGAAAGCGGTTCCTTGGGAGACACGCAGTCTTGGAAGAGCAAAGATCAAAATAGTTCAGGACCGTTCTGTTGCCTCTTATCTCAGTCCTTGCCGCAGAGGAATACCTTGGTTTTTTCTTGCCTACTGGTGCTTGTAAAGTGTCCTGCACGCCCAGTCATGCTGAGGGTTGCCCAGACTCACGAGTTAAGGTATGGACCATGCTTTAATAGAAAGAGAACATTCTTTTCCTACTGAGATTCTGGAATCTACTGCAATGGTTAACCCAGAAAGAAGCTTTTATGAGAAGAAGATGTTCCTTCCCTGCTGAAGTTTTATAGAATCCTTTGGATAAACCTGATGTGAACTTGTATTGTGAAGCACCCGTCACATGGTAGGGTCTTAAGAATGTTGTAGAATTTTAAGGAAGACTTAGCCTTGCCAGAAACGCCACCAGGAGTGGAGGAGATTGTTTTCATAACAAATTCTTTTTTTCTTTTTAGATTTATTTGAGAGAGAGAGAGAAAGAGAGAGAGAGAAAACATATGCAAGGGAGGGGCTGAAGGGAGAGGGAGGGAGTCTTAAGCAGACTCCCTGCTGAGTGCAGAGCTAAAGTGGGGCTTGATCCCATGAATCTGAGATCATGACCTGAGCTGAAATCAGGAGTCCAAAGTTTAATTGACTGAGCTACCCAGGAGTCCTGTGTTTTCATAACAAATTCTAATAACTGCTCTTTTCCTGAGCATCTACTATGTAAGTTTATGGGAGAGACTAGAGCTATTCATCCATAGCTGCCTTGTCCTCCTCTTTGGCTCACCAGTAGACTATGCTGCCCAGTTCGCTTGTAGTTAGGAAGGGTCATATGACTACCCTTGCCACTGAAATATAAGTGGAAGCATTTTTTTCTCATTTCTGGGCCTATATATTTGACAGAGAGTATTCCACCTCCACACTTTTCTTCTTTTGCTCTATAGCAAGAACTGAAACCCATGTTTAGGTGATGGATAGAGCCTGAATCACTGGGTCACGTGATAGCACAGACCCCACCCCACCCCCGCTTCCAATCCACATCCAGAAATGCGCCTTCATTCGATGAAGCTGTTCAGACTTCACATTGTGTCTGTGGCATCAGCTAGCAGTTGCTTTAATACACACCTCCTATTTCTGTTGTTAGACTTATTTAAGTATTTTAATTACCAAGATAATGGTGCATATATTCTTACAGCAAAATAATTCAATACAGAGAAATCACAACTGCCTACTCTACATCAAGCCTAGTAAATTCTGTAACAGCCTCTGTGGTAAATAAAATTAGCCCGTGACAGGTATTATTTTAAAAATAATTCTATACTTTTTTTTTTTTTTCCTACCAGGACTCATTTATTTTACAACTGGGAGTTTGTACCTTTTGACTACCTTCACCCATTTTACCCACCTTACTTTCCACCTCTGGCAAAAACCAATCTGTTCTCTGTATTTATCCATTGGGGATTTTTTTTTTTTTTTTTTTTGTTTGTTGGGGTTTTTTTTTTTTTTTTTTTTTTTTTTTAAAGATTTTATTTATTTATTTGACAGATGGAGATCACAAGTAGGCAGAGAGAGAGGAGGAAGCAGATTCCCCGCTGAGCAGAGAGCCCGATGTGGGGCTCGATCCCAGGACTCTGGGATCATGACCTGAGCCGAAAGCAGAGGCTTTAACCCAATGAGCCACCCAGGTGCCCCGTTGGTGGTGTTTTTTAAAGATTCTCACATATAAGTGAGATCATATGGTATTTGTCTTTCTCTGAATTATTTCACTTAGCACAATGCCCTCAAGGTCCATCCATGTTGTTGCAAAT